TGTACCTAAGAGGTGCAGATTTAAATCTTTGCCAATGAATGTATAGCTCCATTGTTTTTAATACACTGAGACTTGTTGAAAGGTTAGAAATCTGTCTTTTCCTTTGAACCTTCCTTACTGCCTTAATTTTTGAATTACCGACTTTTAATGAAAATTCGCCAAAATCCAAAAATGGTGGTTTCTTCTACTGTAGTGTTGAAGTCAGGCTGTTCTGTGCACTGAAATCAAAAGTAACCTTCTGAAATGAAAATCTTCACCTTTTGCTCTCCTGCCTGAAGTGTAATCTCCTTATTCACTAGGATGTTCAGGGCCACTAGAATCACTTTCCCAGTTGTACTTAATAAGTGTTTCTCTGATAATATTTCAGTGTGCAAACGGACTAGCCATGCCAAAACATGCTGTTCCCCAACCAACCTGTTGAACTTTGCTGCATTTAGGTCTCTGCACTCATTACCCTTTCCAACAGGCCCAGGGCCTTAAGAGTTTTGGAAAGCCCTTTACTACTGATATAGAGCTCAGTCCCTGTGTATGCTGACTGATGCAAGTTCAGCTCAGATTTCGTGACTATTCAATCTTTTCAAATTCTTCCAGCAGTAGGAGTGCTGCCTCTTCAATGGTTCAGGTCATTTTAAAATGTATCTTGTTCCTTAGTGGAGTTTCAGTGTTACAGTTCTATGTGGCTCCTTGTGACCTCATCTAGAAGAATTAGTTGGAGACATTTAGATTCAGCAGGAAAAGCTTTATTCTTATAGTTGAGTGCAAGAGAAGCCTCTTGAAATAGTTTGGACACAAATTGTTGGTGTTCCCATTTCCTTCCCTTAACCGTGGGTGCAGCCCTTTGTCCCTGTCATCACATACAAAATGTGGGCGAGGGCAGTGCCTCTGCAGTGATTTCCCATGCTTCTTCTTTGTAGCAGGTTCCATTAGCATTTTAAGTCTCCAGTTAGGGGCATGCTTTATACTGTGGTAATGAAGCAAGGGTGTCTTTAGGTCCAGTGTCTCTGTGTCTCTAAGCTCTTGCTTTAGAAGAATTCCAAGCACACCTTTGTTTTGGGAGTGAGTGTGTGAAAGCTTTAGAGTGTCATTTTTCCTTCCTCAGGAAAGTGTGATTGCAACAACTGCCTTCTAACAGTGTGAGTCAGGGCTCCTGCTCCTCTCAGACCCTGTGCCTTATGGATTAAGCTCCTCTGCCCCTGTGTCCTTTCAGTCCCGGTTATTTCATGCTCTGTGTTGAAAATTCTACTCTCTGAAGTCCTTGCAAGGATATTAATGTACAGTGGTTATTTTGACTGACTTTCATGGTGACTTGTTGCTTGTGTGTTTAGTGATATTTTGCTTTTCAAATGTAGTGATCATATGGACCCGGAGGTAGGTCTCCTTCCTCCAGAGGTGATTTGCCTTCCTTTGGTTGCAAGCCAGTGGGACTGCTGCCAACTTAGTATCATATGAGCTTCCCCACTGAGCCCGGCTTCACATGGGAATTGGAGGTTCCGGTTCTCTATCTTGGATTATCAGGTGTAGTGGCCAGGTTTTGGCCTTCTCAGGCATTTGTCCCTGAGAAATTCCAGGTTTTGCTCTCAGTGCACCCTTGTAGTTTGAGAGCAGTGTTTTGCTTTCCTGTTTTCAGTGTAACTCTGTTGGATATATCCTTTATTTACCTGAAAGCCCAACAGTTATTTTGAAAGAAATGTGTTGTAATATGTCTAGGACCAACTAATATGTCAATGGGTGTGTCCTCCAGAGTGAAGAGTCTACTGTATTTCTGGAAGTGTCACTCAAGGCCTATAATATCTTGTTTCATGTCACTTTTCATCTTCTGTTATGTTTATTTGGTGAATTTGTCTAGTCTTTTCTAAAATATAGAGGGTTAAAGAAGTCAGGAGTTGCAATTCATTCATCTTTGCATCCTCTGGACTTTTTAGCAATGACAGTTCAAGATATGTAATATGAATGAGAGTAAACGATTTTATTGGTAACGTGATGTGCTTATGGAAGTTTAATGTGTGAAAGAATACAGTAGGAAAGTTGAAGCAGGGAGAGCACAGGAGCTTTAGGTAATCCAGAGGAGTGGCCAAATGACCAGATCCTTAATAAAACAGCTTGCTTTCTCCCTTTTCCCTGCATCCATCCCCTTAAAGGCTTTCTGAGTTGTGTTTTATGTTTCCCACTGTACATTATAAAGCATGTAATTATGATGTTTTATTTTTGTCTTCAATCAAATTAATATGTACCCATAGAAAGATATTGCCATTGTATCCATAGGGCTTACTGTAGGGTTTTGCTTTGTGAGTAAACATGGTGCTCAGGAGAGAAAGTTGTTCTCCCTGATCGCAGGTGGCACCTCTAATGTAGAGATCATCACTAATATAACCTGGCTGCACCAGTACTGTCTACTATTTCTTTCCCACTGAATTTCATGTATTTCAAATAATAATTGCAGCTGCAGTTTTAATGTAGTGATTGTAGTGGTTTTTGTGCTTGAATTAATGGCTTCTATCTGGATATTCACTGCAGTGAGTGTTTGGGGCATTTCTGTCCCCTGTGACATTATTAAAAGGAAGCCTGTGAAAACTTGCTTTTGTGCCTGACGGAAAGAAGAGTGACCTGGTGCTAGTGAATTTTCTCATTTGCAATTGCTGGGAACAAGGGGCACAGGTCTGGGAGGCCTAAGTCTGTGTGTTGCATGTACCTCATTTCTTGCAGCCGGAAGAATCCTCTTGGTCTCCTCATTGCCCTGGATGAGAACAAAGAAGCAAGAGGGGAGCTCTTCTGGGATGATGGTGAATCAAATGGTGAGTATGCTGTGAAGAATATTACTGTTCCCAACCCTGTATCCTGTGTTATTGCCTTTGTTCTTCCTGATCATTGGGCTGTGGGATAAATCTCACTATGCCCAACAGCAAAAGTCAGCTGAGTGAAGAGTTTTGTTCTGGTTTCTCCCGAATAGTAATGGGGCAGTAATAAATAAACCACAGAAAGAAGGAAAACACATTTATACCAGTGGAATCCCCCCTGGCAGTTATCAATAATAAATTTTCTTTTTATTGTTAGTGTGTATGTGGGAGATATCTTTGACACTGATTCTGTAATTCTTTTGCAATGAAAGTAATTTCCTCCCAAAACCTTGTGAACATGTATTGATACGCAAAACGGTCATCTCAGGCAGTCAGCAGCCATATACTTAACCAGGGAATATACATGTAGGCCTGCTTCAGGTATATTGTTCTGTGTCTGCTATGTTAATAGTTCTTGTGTATGTCACTTAAGAAATACATTCCCATGAGGCATATGCTTTGTAAGTACTTAAAAGAGAATTTTTTCAAGGTTACAGTAAAAGAAGTAAAAATTGGATATTGGTCTCTAAGACTCTGTTCATAATCCTTTTATCCTCAAGATCTCGATATAAAATGCTTCATATTTGCATATTATTAGAAAGTATAATCAACAGAATTTGAATACATTCAAGGTGAACAGTGTATACTGTATTTTGTGTACTGATTACACAGTCCAACGAACACATCTGCCAACACATATGCTATGTATTTACTTTCAGAACTTATTCTCATAATTGAAAGTTTTACACACTGACAGACATCTACTGCTTTCTTCCACTCATCTGTCTGTTGCAGCCACTGTCGTACCCTTTGCTTGTATCTGTTTAAGTTTTTCAGAGTCCACTTATAAATGTCCACATAGCAATGAAACCATATGGTGTTCAATTGTTCCTGGCTTTTTTCACTTAGTATAGTATGCTGCATCTTCATCCCTGCTGTCAGAAATGGCAGAGTTCACCTCTCTTTTATGCCTGAACAATACTCTGCTGTATGTGTGTTCTACAGTGCCTGCTTCTATTCATTTGCTGATGCTGGTTGTGTCCAAATCTTGGCTATTATAAAAAACAAACTGAAAACTTAAATGCAAGGACTAAAGCTATGAAATCCCCAAACATGAGAAAATATTTTGGACATTGGTCCTGTGAATATTTTCTTGGATATGGCACCAAAAGAATAGGCAACAAAGTCAACAAACAAACGTGTATACTACATCAAAGGAAAAGCTTATGCACAGCAAAAGAAACCATTAACATAGTAAAAAAGGAACCCGCAGAATTAAAGAACCTATGTGCAAACCACGTATATAACAAAGAGAATTAATATAAAAACATGTAAGGAACTCATAAAACTCAGTTGCAAGAGAATAAATCAGCTGATTTGAAAATGAATCTGATAGACACTTTTGCAGGGAAGACTTGCAGCTGCACAGCGGGCATATGAAAAGATGCTGATCTCTGCACTAAGATGCAGAGAATTACATATGGAAAATTGCAGTGATGCATCAACAGAGGATTGCCACGAATGGTGTGATGGGAAAGAGAAGAGACTGTAGCACTGCCACGGTGTGGAGTAATGGAGGAAACCCTGACAGTTTCTCAGTAGAAATATAAGTCAATTCAGCCATTATGTAAAGCAGTGTAAAAGTTCCTTAAAATATTAAAAATAGAACTATATGATCCAGCCATCCGATTTCTAGTGTATATCCAAAAACTGCAGTCAGTCTATCAGAGAGATACGAACACTCCCACGTTACTCACTTCAATGCAGTGTTATTCGTCCTGGCCAAGATCCAGAACCAGTCCGTGTTTCCACTTACTGACGAATGAATAAAGACGTTGTGGTAGATATGCAATAGAATGTCATTCAGTCATTCAAAGGAAGGAACTCCTGCCTTCAGGGAGGCAGGGTCAGCTTTAAGGAGAGGCAGGTGAGATTTGTGCTGTGGTGGGCAGGGAGTCTGAGTTGCCTTTTTTCTGCTTTCAGATACTGTGGCCAATAATGTTTACCTTTTATGTGAGTTTTCTGCCACCCAAGTGAGTACTGCATTTCTATGAATCTTAAGTGTGGGTTTTCATCTGACCAATAGCACATTTGTGCTTGTGGATGTGTGTGATTATGTATTCAACTTCACTGAGATTAATGACTCTAGTTAAACACATTTCCATGTAGACTTAAGTCCCAGTAGTTTCATTGTGTGTGTAATCAATGGAGCCACCAATATTGACAAATCAAAGCAGCTAGTCTGTCTAAAGATAGTTTTTTCAAATATCTGTCTGCATATTGCTGATTTTTTTTAGTACATAGTTCAAATCAAATAAGCTTATGCTCCTTGAGCATGCATTAGTAGCAAAATCTGTAGCTTTCAGAGCTGGGGGAAGTATCTGGTCCTGGGTGTAGCATTTGTATGACTGTACAGGAGAATGTGTGTCTTACAGGCAAACCTTTGTGCTTCCTTGTGCTTAATTGTTTTGCAGAACCGCCTGGATGTGAAGATCTCTCAGTCAACCTACAGGGACCCCAATAACTTAACATTTCAGGAGATTAGAATACTCGGCACAGAGGAACCTGCCAATGTCACCGTGAAACACAATGGTGTCCTGACTCAAGCTTTGCCTAATGTCACTTATGATGTTATTCTGAAGGTAAAACTCCATTTTGTTAATATGTTTGTTTTATTAGTCTTCATAGCACCATGGCTTTTTATTCCTATCAAGGTTGCGTGGGTTCTTGAAGGATCAGAAAGCAGTGTGAGTCCTGAATAGGGAAGTAAGAGGGTCTGGACAGAAAATGAAAATGAGACAGCCAGACTTAGAGTGGGTTGGGGAGCTACTGAGGAATAATCTTCCGATCTTCACTGATCTGCACCTGATCGTTCTGGTCTAGAGCAACTTTACTTTCAGAGAAGTAACTGTCCTGTGTACAAGAAGAGCAGTGACAAACATGGGGGACAGGATCAGAGGAAAAGGGATCTGGAAACTCATAACTGATGCTAAAATGTAATGGTGTGATGTAGAATTCTCATGAATTAAAGTTGTGCAGGGTCTTTTTTGTGTGTGTACTGATACTCTCACTCCAACGTATACTGTCTGTGCCCAAGAAATATGTTAAGATAAATAATATATGACCTGACATATGCCTACTTCTTGAATTAGGGAGTAACAATAAAGTAAGTTTTCATCAGTTGTAATTAGACCTGACTTTCTTAAACAGATTGTAATCAGTTTCTCTGATGTCCTAGCATTATAATTATTATTATCATTTTTTATTTTAAAGAGAGTAGTAAATGAGAAACAATCAAACAAAAAAATAGAACAGTAGCAACATACCAGTATCACGAACAGGAACATATCAAAGCAAGAACATTCAGAGTGATACAGGGTCTCAAGACAAATCAATACAAGTCAGCACTGGTTGTTACATTGCATATCACTATCCTCAGCTACACTGCTCAGATTATCAGATATAAGAATAAAGATTGCTCAAACCATTAAAGAGAATAAGAAAATAATTCTTCAATAAAACATTAGAGATAATACAGAGTTTCATTAGACAGATGGTAGGAGTTCACCACTGTAATTCCATTGCATAGTGTTACCTTCAGATCAGTTGCTCAGACCACCAAACACAAACATGCAAAGTCGATCAGAACATAAAAAATTGTGAGTATTAACTGTTCATTTCAATACACCATCAGACAACAGCAATAC